TTGAAGAGCAAGTTTGATTACACTCAGTTTCACAATTACATTTTTAATTAGAAGTCTTCCACAAAAAAATATGTTATCGTATGTTCACAAGGTGTATTTCGTTCATAGTCATACATGTAGATGTCTATCAAATTTATGAAACATCGTAGACAATCATCACTTCATGCTCACATGTAAATAAATAATCAATATTCCACAAGAAATAATCTTGTCTAATCATTCAATCAAGTATAATAAATGAAATTCAAATGACATAATAATTAGTTTCATGCGGTTCTGAACTAGAATTTATATTTTAAATTATTAGATAAATGCAAAAAAAAATGATTAACGGTACTAATTTTATCTAATGCATACCAATATATCAGTCAATCGAACACCTTTTTCTGTAATTGAATATCTCTCACCTTTTTGCTTTTGATACACATGCAATCTCAACAATACATCTCTTCTTCGCTACACACATTCATACTTCAATTTGCTTAATTTTTTCACTTCCCTATCTCGTTATCTATTATGAAGGGTGAAGCATAACAAGCTGATTATTCATTAACGTAGCTATTAGGCACAAGTATTTGTACACTTGGTATACTATTTAACATCAATCGCTCTGGTATTCTTTCTTGTGTATAAACATTTTCGAAACATATGTATCCATATAAGACATTCTAAAATGAGTTTTCACTTGAGGTTTCATCATATTCTGATTTGCTCTTTTTCATGAGAAAATGTTACAACAAATCATACCGTTCGAGAAATTAGTCACATTTCTTGATTGTCGATAATCGAACATTAAATAACTATGAGATAAACTAGGGTGTGAGTGTGGTTGTCAGCGTATTCGGTGTTTCTTCTACTCACACACACACGTACACCCACATCCACACCCTCAATTTGGATTTTTAGGACTAATTAATAAGTTCCTAAGCATTTTGAGATAAATCACATATGGTTCTTCTGTAAATACATGATGTGGACAAAGGTGAGGGAGAGGATGTGGGTGTAGGTATGTTGAAATATCATCATAATTAATAAGTCCTCAATAAATAAATAAATTCCGAAAAACTAAGCCCTGGTAGGATACCTGTTTAAATATTGTTATGAATAAAAAATGAAATAAGTATGAGTCGGTTTTTGTCACAATAGTTATTTTATTGATATTCAGTTCAATGTCTGATTTCTTCTCAAACTGTGCTCATGTTCCACACCATAAGCAATACGCGTCGTTTCATGAATTTTTCCATCTAATCATTTTTTTGCACAAAATGATCATAGTACCAATTTTCTTTTTATTTCAAAAGATAAATTTATGGAGTGAAACAAATCTAAAGAACGTTTCTTATGCTTTTTGTTTATTTGATCTCTCTCTAAAGAAATAAAAATGAGTATCTTTATTCATCACGCTCTAATATATGATGATTGATCGAACAACTTATGATCTCAATTCCGAAAAACAAATGAAAAAATATAATGAATTTTTATCAAAATGAATTCCTTCATCTTTATTTAATCAACATTCGAGATTCGAAAGAAAAAAGATGTCATACTGCATTAGAAGGGTGTGGGCGTGTGGGTAGGTATGGGTGTGAGTGTGAGCATCGGTGGGGCGTGGGTAGCAGTCTTACTCTCGCATACACAGGCACATCCACACCCTGTTCATTACTATTCTCTTCATCAGTTGGTGCATTCCTACTCCGGTTTACGGTGAGTGTGGGTGTTTTCTTCGTTAGCTCACATTGACACACTCACACTACACGTCGTACTATTTCATTATACCAATGATCTACAATGAATAAGAATTTATCTGAAATAAATGCTGCCGTCATACTTGTGATACCCAACTATTTAACTTGTAAAAACCTAGTTGAGTCGAATTAAACATCGCAAATATAATATTTTGCTTTGTATGCTACGCCACATCAAGTCATCATTGTATCCTGCACACAACCAATCTGCAATAGAATCATATCCCTTTTATCAATTGATTGTATTCATGGAGTTGCATCTGGTACACAACGAATTAGAACTGATACAGCTAGTAGTACGAATGTTGACTTGAATTACTAAGACTTCGAAAAAAATAGTTAACCAAAAGCAATGTTTTTCTAAGTTATCATTATTTGTTTTAAGAAAAATAAACTCTTGAAAATAAGCTCAACTGTTTGAATGTCGAGTTCTGTAATTGATATAGATTTAGAACTTCACATAAAAGAAATAAACGAATATGACGCAAAGATATTCCACTTCTATTTCAGAAAAAAACAATGTCGACAACAGCTATTCTTGAAATTTTTCTATTTAATACTTTGCTGAAATTCTTCCAAAATGATACCATTGTAAGGGCACAAGAATAAGCGGAGAAAAACTCTAATCTGCCACTGATTCGAATAACAAGTGACGATAAACTATTATACACGCATTAAATATATATTTCATTAGAAATTTTACAAAAAAAAAAATAAAATATCACAATTGTAAACAAACTCTATTGTCTATTTGTTGGATGGTATAGTACTGACACAAGTGTTCAGAGTCAATTATATTTTTTAAATTTTCGACAATTTCCATACTTGGTGTTGATATTTTAAGACATATGGAAGACAGGTTAGAAATGCATTTGATATTTTTCATGAAAATAAATCGTAGAACTTCTTCAGGTAAGATACTATTTGTACAATCTACTTCGAAATGTTTCATACGAGGACAAAGATCAAGAAGAAATTGAATTTGTGCAAGTTCATTCATTTCCTGAAGTTTAACTTTAGTAATTTTGTTGTTATTTGATAACAAACGAAAAATTCTTGTTTCTTCAACAGAAAAACATTTTGACTGTATCATTGGTAAAGATAATATTACTAATGAATCGAGATTAGGTAAATACTTAATGAAATCAATTAATGTGGCAATGTAAATTCCGCTGAGCGTAATATTTAAACAAGTAATCGGTAATACAACTAAAATTGGACCGATCATCTCAATAAATGGTTCATCATCATCTGTCGTAGACAAATCAATAATGTTTAGTATCATAGAAGATGCAACAGAATTATGTTTATTGGAAATAATACTATGTTGTGTACTATTTTCATAGATGTTATCAATTAATTTTTCATCATTTGTCTTATTTGTTTGAAAATTGTCTTTAACTTTCCTAAAAAATATACAGAAAAATATTATTTACAAAAAAAAGAAAGATTTATTTCAATAAACCTGTATGGAAAAATTGAATAGACAATAACATTATCATCCCAATCATCTGTCTTAATAGAAATTTTAAAAAACCATTTTCGTTTTATCCAAAATGACGAATTAAATCGATTAATTAATTCATGATGAATAGTTGTTTTGAAATCTTCATCAATAAGCTCATTGTATTGAAATTCAAATGTATCTAATTGAAGTAAATTTTGTGAAATAATTCGTTCCCATCGATTAGCATCCAAATAAGTCACATCTTTGAAAGTATTAATACGTAGTACTTGTACTTGAGGTGACACTTTGGTGAGAAACATTTCTAGTTCATCATAGTCAGCATAACACTTAGTAATGAATATACGAGTTAAACTTGTTACTATATTAAGTGTATCTTTTATGATGTTTTTCTTTGATTCATTGACTTGCTGACAAGTTAAACGACAGAGTTGAGGTGTATATGAAATTATAGCAATTAATTCATCAAGAGTACAACAATGATCAATAACCAGATATTTAATACTACTAAATTGATGATTAGTAGCTATCGGTAGAGGAATAAATGAATCAAGTGAATTAAATGACAATTTATTGTATTTTAACATAGGTAATTTGAAAATCATTTGATATATATTGTTAATCTGTTTGAGATCATCATCGTAATGAATAATTAATGAAAAAAGACGAGGCAATGAAATTAAATTTATTAGAACAGATTTGAGTTCATTTGATTTCATATTATCTAACACTAATGATTCAAGATGACTAAATGATGAATCAATGTTAAATAATGTAAAACTTGAATTAAAAAGATAAAAATTAGACAAACTAAGTGACATAATTCGATCTTTGTTTCGAGAGATAATGGAAATAGAACGATGTTGTACGATAGTTTCTGAATGACAACGAAAATCAATTTTTAGTCGAAGAGATGAACCATTGAGTAGAGCATGAAAACGATTATTAAGATTTGAAAATGCATTAAATAATTCACAACCATCAAGATAATCGAAGATCTCATAGAAAAGTTCATTTGATAAGTTTTCTAAACAATTAATATGTTCTCTAAAAAAAAACAGAAGCAGAAAAAATAAATGAAGCTAAACGTATATATCATGCTTCCTACCTGTTCTTGTATATTGCTATATAAAAACAAATGAATAAATAGATTCATTATATATTAGTTTGAATGTATGCAACTTACTTCTTAGTTTTTTCATTTCTTCATAAGAAGGTTTACTATTATTGATATATCGTTTAACTTGAATCATTTTTACTTGAATGTAGAGTATTATCTGGAAAAATTATAAATAATTTTTTTGACTATATTTATTATTGACGATTTATCTTCTTATATAGTCTTGAAGCATCTGTCGTTATGTTGCTGTTTTACTTTTCACAGATTTATTTCGTTTGCCACAAAAAAAATATACGAACGCGTGCATCTGTCTGTATTTTACGTGAGATATTTATAGACCAACTAGGCTCGTGCTTTTCGTTTTCTCTCCATTGACTCATTTACACTACCATTTTTGTTCGTATCTAGATTATAGCGATTGTCGATTTACTTGATATGACGCAAAAAAACTAGGAACTGATATTGAAAAAACCACTTGGACAGGCTTCCCAAATGATAATGAAGGGTTTTTTAACGATTATTTAGATATCTTCTATTTAATATTCTATGCGGTCAAAGTCTACTCAGCTAGAAGTGCGATCAAACGAATAGTTTAAATATATAGTTCTACTTCAGCATAGTTGCAGTGCCGTATTATTATTTTTATTATTGTCTTTCTTCAAAAAAATCTTGATTCTCTTCCACGAAAAAAAGACGATCAATTCTTACAAAATTTTTCAAATTGACCTCATGAGTCATCGACTTACGTCACTTCTGTTGATTTTGAAATATTTCTATGCTTTATCTAATATATTATTGTTTTTGTAAAAGACTAAACTATGCATTTACTTTTTATAATAGTTATGTATGTGATAGACGTTAGATTATGTCAAACAAGTAAGTATCCACCAACTGAAGAAAATAGTTAATAATTTACGATGAATGTCTTCAATGACGATTGTATATTTCGGTAATATAAATCGTCTTATCATATGAATCATATAATTTATTAATCAATACAGAATAAAAAATCATTTGTCCATTTTGAATGAAAATAAATTAATAGTTTTCATATAGTTTTTCTCAGCAACGATAAGATTTTTGTAACTTTTGTACCATCGTATTGTTTAATTGAAGACTTCGAAAATGTGATAAAAGATATGATCTGATATATTTTTGTTTCTAGGCTGAATAATAAATCAATGATAATTTCTATCTCAAGATCAATCAGAAATCGAACGTCTTCAAATGTAGTTGTTTATTCAATATACGCATTTTTAGTTTCATTTAATTTTGAAACATTAATTTTGCTTTTGGGAATAGATAAAAATTTTTTATACACCAATCCAAAAGATGAAACTGTGATAATTCTTTAGTTTCAAATTCAGATTGAAATTTTGATGTCTCTTTTTATGCAATAAAAGATATTTATAATGTATGATGACTGTGAACATATAGAAGTTAAGACTTTCTACAATTAAACCTATCTGAAAAAGCGACAATTATTACCAAATAGAATTGATGACTAATTTTCGAGCTTTGTCAAAGAAATCTAGGGTGTGGGTGAGTGGAAATGCTATCCAGAGATACAGAATCTACCGGTGCGCGGGAACGCACGTTTGGGGAACCTTTTGACTCTGAGGAAATTCTTGAAAATGTCGAGCTCGGAAAATTTGTCGAAGAATGTCTTCTTCTACGGAGACATAATAAACTCAATCAACGATTTCTCTAGTTTATTTGTTCTTTCTTTGTCTATTAATTTATAGAC